CGTACCGCCACATTCTCAGCCGATACAGGAACTTGAGCTAACAACGGCAGTAGCTCCTCCGCATAGCATCGCCCAGGGATCGTATAAGATCGCCAAGGGGTACCAGCTCCCTCTGACATGCTCAACAACCTCGCGGTGTTAAACATGTGACACGGTGAAGGAGCAGGAACGACAAAAATATCGGACGAATGTTGTCTAGAAACCCTCTCTCCAAGATATGCAATCGCTCCATAGGTCCCCAAGAAATAGCGACGCTCAGCGGAATACTACGCGGCTAACCCAGGGACTGCCAGATCGACCCATGGTCGGTACAACACCTCAGGCTCCTGCAAAGAGCGTCAATCAGGCAAGAGTCTATCTAAGGCATCACAAAATGTCAAATAAGAAAGAAATCATACCGAGATGATCCAATCTTGGACATATGCAGTGGACATCCCTACACGGCGGCTGCCCCAGGAATTACTAACTGGAAACCTGCGCGGCGACGGTCTCGCCGGCGTAGCAGAAGGGAAGTACTCGTAGAACCAGATCTAAAAGAAGCTAAAGTTATCAGTAAATGTTAGCTAAAATGTAGAGCTAAACTTTATAGGGAATAAGGTTTACCTCTACGACCCTTCAAAAGCTAGACAAAGCAACATTCGTCCCAAAGGACCGGTGTCGACACGAGTCCCTCAGCGCTCGAATGAAATCAGCATAGGCCAAGCTGGCCCAGTCATAAGTCCCGATCCAGTGTAGATCGCGGACGGTATGAAGGTAGTAAAGCAGCGTCCTACTACCCTTGTCAGGGGAGAACGTCCCTGACAGCAAAATGAGTGCAAAGATGCGCACCCGCTGCTCTCGGGTGGTCGCATCATCGTCCAAAGCCGCTGCTAGAGCCGAGCGGCGAATCCCCCTAGCGCTGAACTGAGACGACTCTACCTCAGCTCGAGCCCGAATAGCAATCGGACCCAATAGCTCCTTGACCTCAGGGGAAAAGACGTCAATCCCACTGTCGAACGGCAGTGGCACGAAGCTAAACTCCAGTCCTGTGATGAGACTGAAGTCGGTAGGAGTGACCATCATCTCACCCCAAGGAAAGTGGGAAGTGTTGGTGGTGTCCCAAAAAAACTCCACCAGAGCACAATCTACATGGTGACCCCCGCTGGAGGCAACCATTGCCTCAGAGGTCTCGTACAACGCAATAAGACCGCAAGACTCCCATAGAAGTCTCATCTGATCATCTTTGGCGATGTACATCTTGTACAAATCGCCCAAGCCGTCACAGCCAGAACCATGACAGCGCGTCCTCCCGACGGTAATGCCTCGTCTCACCCTCTCAGAAATGTGGTGGACGGGAGAAAGAACAAGGTCCGCTCATCCCACTCGGGGAGTCGACCAAGCGAAGTGGACGGCTCGGCATCGTCCTCCACGTGCTCATGCTCCCGTCTAACGTCTCGGGACCGTGAACCGGAACCTCGCTGTCTAACCATACTACATTGTGCAAAAGTATCATAAATTAAGGTTCTATAGTGTCTAAGGTTCGCCTAGCCGCATGATACTATGTTCGCAAAAAACAGAGTACGTAGTACTAAAACAGAGCACAAATTCAAATTGAGCATAACGACATTTTTCAAGCAATCAAACAATTTCTTGCAATACTATAGTAATTATTGTGACAAATTGGACAAGAATTGCTAGCAAAAACATAAAAAACGAGCCACATTGTATTCCCGACCTTAAGAGGTTCAACAATGGCAATTTGTTCATTTCTTCACCAAATTGAGTCAAACAAGTCTCAATTTACTCCCAAGGCAATATACAAACATAATCAAGCAATTTCATGGCATAAAATTTGACAAACAAAGAGAATTAAGCATTCTAAGTTTTGAATTTTCATGAAATTCGAGAATAAACACATGCAAAATTCATAAAAACCGTTGTGAGTTTGAAGAAAAATTACATAGATCGGGAAAATGGATGAAATAAGCTTTGATTTGCAACAAATTTGAGTGAATTTGGTTGAGAAACGAGCAAGAACGAAGCAAATGAATTTCTGGGAATTTTCAAGCAACAAGCACGACGAACAGCAGCGAAAATGAAGATAAGAAGGGTATTTAAGGAAAATCCGACTCTGGCGCCAAGCGATAGACCTTGGCGTCAACAGACAGGCTTGGCGCCTGGCGCTAACTCCAGCGTCTGGCGCTACAACCAATTGTGTGGCGCTGATGTTATTTCAGCGGCGCCAGAATATTCACCCACTCAGTACGGTTGTTCTAACTTTTTGCAATATATTTTGGGTTCCTTGGTACGCCAGTTAGCCCCTCTAAGAAATTTGACACGATTTTTAGTAATCGGCTTGATTGCATAAAGTGATCGACCTAATGAAAGATCGTCTCACTTAGCTTAAAGCGCCTAAGCATTGGCTCATCGCAAAAAGCACCGACATACTGGTTCATTCGGAAAGGCACCGACGTATTGGCTCATTCATCTAGCAAAAGGCACCGACACACAGGTTCAAGCAGCAAAAGCGCCGACGTACAGGCGTAGCGGAAGCAAAGTTCAAGCGAACTTTTAAAGATCGACAACGGAGATCTTCGGTAATTTCCTTTGGAAAATTATCGCAACAAGTAAGGATAGCTTCAAGCGAGGGTATCTTCGACAGCGTTCCCTAGATTGTGGAGAGTTGTCAAAAACAACTGAAGATGATTTCAAGCGAAGTTGTCTTCGATCATGTTCCCTTAGACGTGGAAGATGGTCACAAAGCGGAAGAGGATTGTTTCAAGCAAAGCAATCTTCGATAGTGTTCCCTTAGATGTGGAATATTATCAAAGCGGAAGAAGATCGTTTCAAGCGAAGCAATCTTCAAAATTGGAAGCAGTTACAAGCGTAGCAGTTTTCAAGCAGGATGGCATTCTCTAACTTGCAGGAGGTCATCAAAACAGTAATACAACAGCAAATCGGTTACTTTTAGAGACGTGTGCTCGACGGTGCAAGATACGCGTTTCTTAACTCTTTTATTTGTTTAACTAACTCTAGTTTGCAGGTATCGGCGTTACAAGAATGATTTAGGATCGCAGAACGTTCTGAACCATTCTCCGTCCCTATCGATACTTTGACTTTTGTTTTCGAAACTTGCGTTTCTCCAAACTCAGTCAAAGTGGGGGCTTCTGTAGACACCCATTTGTGTCTCCCCAAAACCAAACCCAATGTTGATTACCTTTCACGTCGAATCATAATCGAATGAAGTGAAAGTGTGGAAAGTTTAGTGTTGCGGATAGTTTTAATTTCTTTTCTCTTCTCTCTGTTTTGAAAACTTATTTTAAGAAAACAGTCAATCCAGTTTGGTTGGTCCATGATATGGGTCCAATAGTAGTGTAGTTGGATGGGGCTTGAAAAGAGCTTTCCAACGATATATTATAAGCCCAATTCCGATGAATATTGAGGAAGTTATGGCCAAAATACAAATCTGGGCTCGGTTTGAGCCTTACATGCGGCCCAATGATCTAGGGGAGGGCCTAATATAGATTTATCATTCCTAATGCAATTAGGAATGGTTTTAGTTTTCTAGTTTCTTCTAGAAGGTTCTTTTGATTCCTAATTCAATTAGCATTGATAAATTGACTTTTGTTGACTTTTTAGAGTTTTAATCATAATCAAAGAACGTTTTTGAGGAAAATACGATTTCACCTCCTGTACGGCAATTTCTATCTGATTTTAAGAAAACGCGTGAATTTCTGAGTCAGCTTCAAACGCCAGCTGTAGCGCCTGACGCTACGCTTGGCGCCTGGCGCTAGCCTTAGCGTCTGGCGCTAAGGACAGCGTTTGGCGCTAACTTGGTTTTTTGCGTCAGAATTCTGTTTTTGATGTTTTATCTTTTTGGCTGATTTTTCTCTATAAATAACGTGCTAAAAACTCCGTTTTCATTCACCAACTCTCATCAAGATTTTCTTTATTATACTCTCTCTCTCTCTTTTCTAAACTAGCTTTTTCTCAAAATATAAAAATTCCACATTCATTAGATTTAAAAAAACCTAGCCATATTCGAAGTTACCTTCGTCCTAGACGTGAAATGTTTAATTTCTGAGGGTTTGGTCCCAAATCTCTATTTCCATTATTTAATTTAATTGTTTGATTTATTATTTTCCTTGAAGTTATTAACGTGTGTATTTTTTTATTAGAATGAGGTACGAGGCATCCAAATAAGTACTTTAATGGTTTTTATTGATTTTATAATATAGAGTTCATGCTTAGTTTGTAATTATAATTCCTAGTATCATGTCTAGGGTAACTTTAATATTAAGTATGATTAACCGTATGATGTCTCCTATGTTCTTCTTAATATTTATGATCGTTAGTATCATGTTGGGGCTAAATATATGATTTTTATTGCTTAGTGACATGCTAGGGTTTGTTATTAATCTTGTTAGTATCATGCCTAGGATCTTGCTATTTTTATTATGCTTTAACATGAATATGATTATGATTATAATTGTTATAATTTATGATTATTATTATTATGTTGCTTGATATTTATTTTTATTGCTTGATCACACTTTTTATGCATGCTTAAAGGGAATTTGTATTTGTAATCACGCTTATATAAGATAATTAATAATCTTGTTTAGGGTTAATATGATTATAATTCAAGTGATTGCCAATAATAGATTTATTTGTGCATTAAAATTCAACCAACATAGATAAATAAGTTTAGGGTTAAACCTATTGATTTCATGTTAGTCAGAAAGCGCACATGAATACGATCAAAATAAAGTAGGGGCCTAATATTAGGGCAGGTCCAATCTCTTTTAGGTTGGATTTGTACCTTCATCCCTAAACCCTATTTGGTTCAAGACCTTATGGAGTTGACGATCTCTTGGATCGTTAAGGGGTGTAATCTTCAACTCGTGAACGGTTTACAAGTTCCTAAAAAAACTTGTTGGCGACTGTTTTGCTCTATCTTCTTTCTCTTTGGATGCCACCGTACTTTAGTGTATGATCACAGTGGGGTTCAAGTTAGGGGATTAACGCTTGAAATATTCCTTACACATATATTTGTACCATATGCCTTAAACTTGTATACAACAATAAATGCCGCATTTTCTACCGAATATTCTTTGTGGAAATAAAAGCTACCTTTGATTAAAAATAAAAAGCACTATCCTTTGTTGCACAATAAAATCATCCTGAGATTGAGCAACATTCATATGGTCTGTATCTTTCACTGGCTTCAAATCCTCCTTAGCATTGTTGTAGACTAACATCATCATCAACCTACATCATCAAAATAAATAGAATAAGCAAATAAACACCACCAATCGCTTTAGATTATGATGATCTACTCAACATTCACAATTACCTCCTTACCATTTCACCGTTCATATTCAATACATAGAGCCATATACCATGAATTTCAAAAAAGAAATGTGAATTTGAGTGTCCTTTAAAGCAAAACAAAAAATAACTCACCTGAATAGCAGCACCAAGGGCTACTACTTCATCAGGGTTGACAGTGCAATTCAGGTCGGTCTTGCCATCTTTTTCACAACATCCCGTACAGCTGGTATCAACAAGGATAACATCGTCTATGTCTTTAATTGATACTTGAGCGTCCTCTAAAGCAGTTTCAACAGGTGTCTTTAATCTGCAGAATTCAAGCAGCCTGACCTGTCAGTAATCAAAACAATGTGACACAATTTGAGCAAATAACTACAACAGTTTTCTGTACAATACCTTCCAAGCAAGTCTGAACATAACTCTTTGAACTTTGCTCTTTTTATAATTATACACATTTACTTGCCTAATGCTAATACGAGTTAAAGTCAAAAGCTCAATCTTTGCCTTCTCAACAGCTTTAGATAGACGCCAAAGAGCTTGTCTGTCATCCCGAAGATCAATATCCTCATTCTTCTTGAAAGTTTCTGCTAGCCAATTTACCATTCTGTGTAGTAGCAATTGCAAACAACTGTATCATTTCACTGCACAAAATTAAAGAACTGATTCAAGCTAGCACATACTTGGGCACGCCGATTCCTTGTTTCCTACCTTATCAGAGTCATCGCCACCCAAATGAGTCACCTGATGTAGATAACACCTTGAAACTCCGTCTCCAACCTCAAGAATTGCAAAAGGCAGAAAGAGTTGCAATGTAAGAAAATCTGATGTACAGCATCAAAAAGTAAACTATTGGAGTTTTTCTTTTTAAAGAACTCACCCGAAACATTAAAATTACTACCTCCAAGATCGAAAACCAAAATCGTCTCTTTATTCTTCTTCTAAACCCATATGCTAATGAAGCGACAGTATGGAAGCATTCAATCTGCCCCATAAACATATCTAACAATTCACCACTAAAGAGTGTAAATTTACTTAAGGGGAGCATTTCATGATCAACCGTTGCACGGAATCTGCAATGCCACAACGGGGTTTCATCTTCTTTTTTCTTAAATGGCAGGTTAGGTTTCATGAGAGCTATTCAATTAAGCATTCTTACTCTCCATTTACATGTTTCTCGGTATTTTGACAATTCTACTCTCATAATCTGTAGTTAGCTTAAACCATTAAATAGGAGAGGGAGTGTCATAATCAAACCATTATAGCTTTTTCTGCTAAAACAAACTGCTTGCAATATCCAAATATCCTGATTCTCTCTTCTTTGCCTTTCATTAACGCAAACCAGTCACCAAAGCCGTTTCAAATGATTAAATATAGAATCATATGAAACTAATTCACCAAAACCGTTTTCAAATGATGAAATAAAGATACACATGAAATCAAATAGGAGGTTAGTCAGAAGTCAACGGGGAGAGAGAACGATATAAATAAGAGAAGAGAGCAATCAGAAGCCTAACAAAATACACTTCTCATCAAGTCATCAAATAAGTAAAAGAAGGTTATTTCAGAGTCAACTCTCAACTAGATTCTAGCAGTAGTTGCAGATCACCAAAGTCAATGTATGCTGAACATCGACTTTCTTTAACACTCACAAAGTCAATGTCTTGAGAATTCATGAGCATTTCAACTTTAACTACAATTCAAACATCTCTTCAATTTCAAAATTTAAATCCTTTATTTACACCAACCTAAACTACAATTCTAAGAATTAAAGCAAACCCAATTCTAAAATCCAACTAAACCCATTAAAAATCAAAGCAAAACCCACAAAAACAAAGCTCAATAACATCAAATTTTACCAAAGATTGGAGAGAAAAAGATGGCAAAAAAAACCTGTGAGACCGCCAGTGATAAAAACAAGAGAAGAAATGGTGACTGGAAAGAGCTCTGGGTGATGAACACTGAAATGAAGATTAGAGAGTTGAATCCTAATTTAGGTTTCAGGATATACAAAATATATATATATATATATTCACACTAAAAAAGACCCAGAAAATCCAACTGCAAATACAAGTAAGACTGAAATGGATTACAAATTGAAAAAATCGCAACAATATGTATCCTAAACATATGGGTGGCTTCATCACTTTGATGTAGTTAACATCGCCCATTAATAGCAAAATCGAACAATCAGAAAGAAAAATACATTGAATCATGTTAATTATATCTAGTTTCAGGGGCGAATTTGAAGCTCCCAAACTTAATCTACTATTATGGCATTTCATGTCTTCCTTTGTCTCAAATAATTTATGAACACTATCTAATTTTGTTAATACTCAATAATTTTTGAACACTATTATCACTAACATTATATCAATACTCAACACTAGAAGATATTAAATAGATGATATATTGCTACCTTTCTATACAAATATTCAAAAGTGTTGCAACAAATTTATCCCAAAATGTGTCACTAAAGATAGTTCTTGTTCATTTGTTTTATTATGAGATGAGAGATGACTATAAGCACCCATTCTTCACTTGTCCGCCAATAATTATTATTATAATTATCTCATCAACAAAGAAATAAAAAGGCAGAAGAAAAGTTGTTTACATTGGACCATATCACTTCTTAAATTACAGCCAAAGAATATCAAATAATGACAACAGATAACAACTACAACAATTAGCAAAATTTCATCAGCAAAAAATTGTTGGCTATAATAAGGTACTACTTAAAGGGTTTACTAAACACTCATACCCACCTGAGATACTAGCCCCCGTTTCTTGTTAGCCTCGAACTCTCTTTGCTTCCCTTGAAATTCTTTTTGTACTTCCTTTACAAGTTGTTTGAATACTAGCCCCCTACAACCTGTTAGAAATTAGAGGTTAGAGATTGATTAACACAAAAAATCCAAATAAAAAATTAACATCCATAACGCAATCAAAAGGTTAAGATCAAACATTAAATCAAAGTTTATAAAAAAACAGATGAAAGAAATAGGAGAGAAAGTCAGCTGATGAGATCTCAATTAGTCGCCTGTGACCAGCCCACTTCCCCCACCTAGATCCTACCTACTCGCCCACCACCAAATCCCCGACCCAACTCTTCTCCACGACCCTACTGCTCCTTAAAATATTTTTTTTATTATTTTCTCTCTCCTTCCCCAAACACCACCACTGCTCCACCCCCTCTCTCCATCCCTACCACCACTGCACCACTCTAGTCCCATCCCCACCACTAGAATCGCCCCCTCCCGACCACCGCTGCCAACCTCCTTCCCACCCCTCCACCAGGCCAAAACTCCCACACACCCCACCAACCAGTAACCGATCCCTATTCCACCCTAACCATTCTATAGCCCAGATCCCACCAATTCCCAACTTCCGCAGCCAACCCTCACCACCAAAAACTCCCATACCGCATCAACAAGCCGGAAACCCCACCTCACCCAACCACAACTCCCTTCTCCCTCACGAATATCAACCACAAGCAACCCTGGTGCCTGCTGCTGCTCAAAATCATAGCAAAAGATATACACCCATCAAATTTATTTTGCCCTGTGATTTTTTAAAATATAAATCTATGATTTTGGGACTAAGGTTGTTGTTGTTGTTGTTGTTGTTGTTGTTGTTGTATAAGAGGATCAGAAGAAAGAAAACAATTGTTAATACTACGAAATAAACGAAATCTGAAGAATGATTTCAGCTAGTGCATAAAGCAGTGGCAGATAATAAATTATTTGGCAAATTGGCGATGATGATGCATCTTTCAGTGAATCAAAAGCCCTGTGATGCAGAGGAAATAGAGAAAGAAGGGATGATGAATCTTCAGGAAAATCAAAAGCCCAGTGATGCAGAGAAAGAAGAGAAAAAAGGGAGGAAAGCCCTGTGATGCAGAGAAAATAGAGAAAGAAGGGATGATGAATCTTCAGGTGAATCAAAAGCCCTGTGATGCAGAGAAAGAAGGGAAAAAAAGGAGGAGAATGGTAACATACAACTAATTTCAGGTGATCCTTTTAAGTGATTTAGTTCTTTTTATAATTATTGGGTTGATCATTATATCCCAATATTGACCCTTAGAGACCCTACAAAGCCTTGTCTAATAAGATAGTTGATGGATCATAGCCCTTTTAACATGGTCTGTCCCTAGTTCCGATTGAATTGCCATGTCCAATAACAAGGTATAGTTGTTTAGGTAAACACAATCAAATTTTTAAAATGGTTGTAATCGCCAATTATGGAACTTGGATAAACCTGACCCATGATCCAGGAGTCTTGACATGCAAAATGTCAAGAGATGTGGATTAAGCACTGAGAAGAGCCTTAACATGGAGACACTGTCAACATATATACTAACTTTACCAGCTTGAGGTGAAAATTTTAATCTGTTAATGTGTGAGAACAGCCGCGTCCAACTATGTCAACATGAGTATGGCAAGGCTAGTGTCGATTCCAAGCATAAATGAACAATACGTTGTCAAATATCACCATATGTGTATTCAGTATTTACCTTTTGGGTACAACAACCCGCCACAAATTGTAATACAGAGTTGGGTATCAAATCCAAGGTTGGAAGCTAAGTTATCTACAGGTGCCATTTAGAGGAAATATCCTTTCAGAGGCAGCATTTAATTGCATCAAGGAGAGTAGATTCATTGAAAGTCTATATATTCATTTGGATGTATCATTATGCTTTTCAAAAACTTTGTCATTGACCCTTTTGTGAAATTCTAATCAAAGATTATAATGAGGGATCTTTGTGGCCTAAGAAGCAGGGTTGGTGCTAAGAGGAAAAAGAAAAGTATTTATGAAGACAGATTTGGTGCGTAGCAAGGAGGTAAGGGTTAAAGCAGATTGGTGTCAAAACATATTACTCGTAGTATTTTTACAAAATAGTGCTGATGACATTTTGTTCTTCCGCCTAAGGCCCATTCAACATATTGTTACTGAGAGCAAAGATAAATTGTGTCAAATTGGATGTCTAGATGAAGGCGAGGGCTTCCAGGCCAATAGCAGACTCTACTCACACATCTTTCAACACTATCATATGTCATTCTATCTATTGAGGCTGTATTCTGTGCAAATTGGAGCAGGGGTGGCCCAATTCACCCAATTTTGCAAAACCATCACACTACTTGTCACCTAGAATGCATAAAGCAAAAGGGTGCGAAAGCTATACAATCTTCAGTATATATTAGGCTTCCAAATCAATTAGTACATGTATGAATATTTGCAAGTATAATGTGTTAAGCAAGGGTCCCTGATGCAGTGATTGGCCAGATATTACCTGCAGAGGCCTATCGGCTTCCCCAGCCTACTCAGTGCCGCAAGTGCGGGGCTCTCTAATTTGCTTTTGAAACACCACACTTCTGTTGTTGTGATGGTGAAGTTATGTCGAATTAGGGAGGGACTGATTAGGGATTCGGGGAGGGGGATGAACGGGAAAGGGGAGTGGAGGGGAAGTGGGAATGGCCGAATGGGGAAAGGGAAGGGGGGGGGTCTCCGGCGCCGGGGGAGAGGTAGTCGCCGGCCTCTGGCAGTGGGTGGATGGGATTTCTTTGATAATTTATATATTTATTATATTATTTAATTATTAATTGAAAAAAAGTTTTATTTTTAATAATTAATCAAAAAATAAGTATTAATTAATTTTTTTAAAAAGAACCGACCACATACTGACACGTGTCGTTCTTTACCCTAACAAACGATTACTTTCAAAGCTAACAGGTTTCGACTCATTTTAAGAAAATATATCATAAAAATCGATTGTCGACTTATTCTGAGTCAATCGAAAGGTTGGCTTATTTGGAGCTAACCAAGCAAAGGTTGGCTTTTTCTTGATAAATTTTCCTACGGAGTATAATTTATTAATTCTACTCCATCATTAACTGAATCTTTTTACAATCATTTATCTTCTCCTTCTTCCTTTGTCACAATAAACACAATAATGCTCTCAGTAATTGGAAATATATTACCAACATTCCTAGTTATCCTGAACCTTATACAATTCATACAATAGATCTATTCATAGTGCACAACTGTCACATATATTGACTAACGAGTAGTGTTGATACTATACAATAAGTTTCAGGTCAACAACTCATTTCCCTCAAACTAAAAAGATTCAGAATTCTATTGCAAATATATGAACACAACTTTATGAGATTTATGACACATTTTTAATATACAATTTATAACACACAAACTTAACAGATTCAGATTGCTGAACTGATGAGACTCACACACCTGCACATGCACCAAAAACGCAACAATCATACAGAAAAGTGTCCCTCACTGCAACAAGCAAAATGATGACTCCCTTTCATTGTTGGACCTAACAAATGATTGCCAATTATCAACATTTTATTTTTAATTATCATGAACTAAAATGTGCTCTTGTATCTTGACTTTCTTCTTCAAAGAGACTTTAGTGATATATTGTGAAATCAATGACTTCTAATCTGCACTCTGCACCTCTGCAGTCCTTACCATAGGCAAGAGCCTCATGATAAACACTAAACACTGACCTTAGTATATTTTTGTCTAAACAATCAAATCTTCTCAAAGTCACTGATTTCAATACTCACAAAGCATAAAATCTCATTCTGATTTGAGTCACAAGACCGCGACAAACTATTCTACCCTCACACATTTTCTTTTTATTCATTTTTTATGAATCTTGTACTGCTCAATCCAAAATTATTATGAGATAGTATAAGCAGCTTTAAGTTAGTTTTGTAAGACACCATATCAACTCTCATCAATCAACAAAATATGAAAATCTCAAGTTGTCACTACTCACTACCAATTACTAGTCTGCAGGACACTCATTACTCAACAATTAAAAAGTGACCGTCACCCTTCCTATAGAATTCACAAACTTCAACCAGCCAGACCTCCATATTAAGACTGAATCACCCACAAGGTATATTCCTATTTGATTATGTATGTATTCCCAAACTAATCTCATTCCAACTCACAGAAGACTACAGTCACTAAACCATCCTCAAATTATTGACAATTTTTTTGAAATGCTACTCAACTCACTACAAAATGAGTGGAGTCAGGTCTTTAATTAATTTTGTCATACAACGGCAATTAACTTTTGCCAATCAATTATTGAAAATTCTTTAGCGTTTAGTTACTAACTACCACTCTTTAGCCCACTCATTACTCAATACGGAGTAATTTAAAACTGAAAGTATCCTTGACTGTTGAATTAACACCATCACTACAAAAGACTTTAAAACATCAAACCAAAAAGATTCTAACAGTATAAAATCGACAATATTGCCCATATAGCATCAAGGTAATTTAAAGCAGCGAAAATCAAAAGCCTAAAACTAAAAGATTTAAAAAAAATGAAAAAAAAAAAAAAAAAAAAAAACTGAAACATATAGAAGCAGGGATCTATTATTAAGCACTCATTATAGAAAGCAAAATACATCAATCATTGACTCATATATTAAACAAGATAAATAAATTATTAAACATGCAGTAAACATACCTAATTAATCTTTTTTTACAGACAACATATAATGGAATTATAGCTTCAATTATACATCAAATAAAAAAAAGCAGATTAATTAGGCAAAACAGAATCGAAATTGACGAAATAATTAAAGATATAGTAATGAGAAATTGACAAAACCCAAAACATTCGTACCTATCATACCAACACTAACAGAAAGTTGATGGAAATTAAGAAAACCCCGATAAATTATTAGGAAATGAGAGAAAATCGTACCTGTAATTTTCCAAGGGTCATTCTTGAGCCACGGTTTTGCTCCTGCTACTCCATTCAAGTTTGAAAAACCATCAAATTGAGTATTGATTTAGAGATAGTCAAATTGTGTAGTTTCCCTAATCAATAGTTTTAGAGATTGATTTAGTTGTTACAAAGAAAGAAAAAAAAGCCTAATTTAGGAGAGAGGAAATACCTGAATTGCTTTAGGGTTCGTTTATCCCATATTGTAATCGTCGTCCGCCATTGAAGATTGTTTAAGCTTTAAGCCCTAAATTAGTCGGGGAGAAGGAGAGTATTATTGTGAGGAGAATAAAGTTGATAGTAGTCAAAGAAATTGTGAGGAAATTCGGGGGAGGAGAAGACCACAGCCTACTGATTCAGCATTCAAAGAAAACAACAAACCAGGATAAACGAGACTGAGGGAGACCAAGAATTCAGTCAAAAAAATAAAAAATAAAAAATAAAAACACTTTGTCTAGTTTAGAGTTGTTTATTTCTAGGGTTAATATTGTTGATTGTTAGAAAAATACGGAGTATGATTTACGAGTAACAAGCTAGCCTTGTCACGCTGGTTAACTTGACACACACCAAAACTCCTGACCGATGGAGTAATTTCTAACTGAATAAACCCTAATCAATCGAGTAACCCCTGATCAAGTAACCCCTAATCGTCTAAGTAACTACCCCAATTAATTAAATTACTCAGTACTATGTATTGTTCAACATATACTTAGGTGATCAAAAATTTAGGTGAGGTTGAATAACACCCCCAAAAAATCTCCCTTCACGGAAACATTGTTATATTATAAAGTAGAGATATACTTGGGATATTACCGTCACGTGATTGTAAGCCTATTTTAAAAACCTCAACTCACTAGAACTTGCAACGAAAAACAATTCTTACTTTATAAATTTTACCAAAAAAAAACAAAAAGTATAAAACGACGCAAGGGGTTTCGAACTACCACTGGGCTGCAGGACTCTCAATACAGTTATGTGCGGAGGCTTTAAATATTATCAATTAAACAAAATTAATTATTAAAAAAAATAGTCCACGTGAATGTGAAACTACAAGTGTACAACTACGGCGCTGGAAGACGCAGATGATGAGGAATGTTCATCATGTCAAAGAACTGTGCAGATCGAGGAGTATGCTCCCCATCAGATCCGGTCTCTCCAGGAGGAGGGAAACTCAACTGAGGACCTGTCCACCCAAGGTCGCCCTGGTGATGAATCAACAGAGGCTGAGGCTGCTGCGACGACGAGCCAATCTCGTACGTCCCACCACCTCTCAGAGCTGAAGTCGCCTTTCCTCCCTGGCCTATCGGTCTAGCCGGTGCACTCTCAGATGAAGAGCCCGAGCCCTTACCGCCTCGGTCCGGGCATCATCCAATCGGCCACCCCGACCACCAGAAGTAGTGCGGAGACGCCTCGAACTAGACCTAGCCAGCTCTCTTCGAACCTCAGGTCTCGTTCGAGTATGGGAAGGAATAGGTTGTCCCTACAAAAAGAAATCAAGTCAGAGGCAAAGAGAATAGAAATATAAACAATGCAGGAGTAAGGAAAAAAGCTACCTCCCGAACAGTGTCGTCACGACGACAGGAGTCCACATTCCTCATCCGCACGAGCTGGCTCCGAAAGGCGTTTATGCACCTCCCCATCGCCGTAACCACCTCGCGCGAGAACTGTCAAAGAAATAAAATCAGTAACAATACAAGACAGATATAAACAAATAGCAAGTAAATAACTCACCCGAGTCTGGTGGCGAGGGATAGATCGCTCAACAAAACGCTGATCCTCGGGAGCCGGAGGGATCATCTCCTCAATAGGCCCATATGTCCCCTGATAGTGGATGAACATATGAGGGGGAATGAACTCAATAGGCTCAGTGTGGCAAAAAGCAAACCAAAGTGAATAAAATATCACTTGGGGGCTACTTAGCAAAAAGATAAAAGATAAAAATCATATTGCCGCCTCCTTTGACAGAACAGGGGCCAGAGCTAACAACGGCAGCAGGTGCTCCGCGTAGCACCGCCCTGAGCTAGCATGAGATCACCAAGGGGTACCAGCAGGCGACCTCTCCGATAAGTTGAGCAGCCTAGCGTCATGGAACATATGACGTGGCGGAGGAGCAGGGACGACAAAAATCTATGAGGAGTGCTGAATAGCAACTCTCTCTCCTAGGTACACCGCCGCCTGATACGTCCTCAGGAAGCAGCGACGCTCGGCAGTGTACTGCGCAGCCAGCGCAGGGATAACCAAACCACCCCATGGCCGGTATATCACGTCAGCTCCTGCAAAGAATGCCTATAAGATAAAGCTCTACCAAAAGCAATACAAAGATGTCAACTATGCAAAAGAACATACCGAGAGGATCAACTCTCGAACACGGGCAATAGTCGCCTGGTTACTGTAGCGACCTCCCTAACAGGCGCCAATGGGGAATTCGCATGGAGATGGCCTCGCCGGCGCAAGTGAAGGAAAGTACTCGTAGAACCAAATTTACAAAGATAGATATCAGCAAGTGCTAATAAGAACTTGGAGCTAACTTTGTAAGAGAGGAAGTATACCTCTACGACTCTCCAGAAGGTGGACAGAGCGATGTATCTTGTGTAAGACCGGTGTCGACAGGAGTCTCGCAATCCTCGCAGAAAGTCAACATAGGCCAAGCTGGCCCAATCATAAGTCCCGATCAACTGAATATCGCGGACAGCAGGAAGGTATTAGAGCAACACCCTACTACCTTTGTCAGGGGAAAACATCCTTGACAACAAAATAAGTGGAAAGATGCATATTCGCTGCTCTCTGGTGGTCACATCATCCTCAAAAGCCATCGCCAGAGTTGACCGGCGAATGCGCCTAGAGCTAAATCGTGATGGCTCCACCTCAGCACGGGCCCGAACAGCAATCGGACCCAACAGCTCGTCGACCTCAGAAGAGAAAACGCTGATGGAGTTGTCGAATGACAGCGCGGTTGTACTAAACTCCAGTCCTAATATGAGACTGAAGTCAGCTGGGGTAACAGTCATCTCACCCCAAGGGAAGTGGAAAGTGTTGGTGGTGTCCCAGAAGAACTCCACCAAAGCGAGAACCACATGGTGGCTCGCGTCAAATGAGTACATGGCTTGCGTGGCCCGAAACAGGGCAATCAGCCTACAAGACTCCCAAAGAAGTCGCAGCCCCTCATCGCCGCTGAAATACTTGTCGTACAGCTTGCCCAGGGTGTCATTGCCCGAACCGTGGCTGCGCGTCCTACCGCTAGTGATCCCACAACGCACCCTCTCTGAAATATGGTGCTCAGGGGCAAAGAACAGTGACTGCTCGTCCCACTCAAGGAAGGGACCGAGAGAAGTGGTAGGGTCGGCGTCCTCCTTGATGGGCTCGTGCTCCTGTCGTGTGTCTCGGGATCAGGAACTGGAACCTCGCTGTCTAGCCATACTACGTTATGCAAAATTGACAAAAATTAAGGTTCTATAGTATCTAAAGTTCTCTAGCCGCATGATACTACGTTCGCAAAAAACAGAGTACGTAGTACTAAAATAGAGCACAATTTCAATTCAAGCATATATGGCATTTTTCATGCAACCAAACAATTTCTTGCAATATTATGATAATTATTGTGACAAATTGAACAAGAATTGCTAGCAAAAATATCAAAAACGAGCCACATTGTTTTCCCGACCTTAAGTAGTTCAACAATGGTGAATCGTTTGTTTCTTCACTAAATTGAGTCAAACAAGTCTCAAGATATTCCCAAGGGAATATATAAACATAATCAAGTAATTTCATGGCATAAAATTTGACAAACAAAGCAAATTGGCAATATAAGTTTCGAATTTTCAAGAAATTCGTGAATAAACATGAACAAAATTCATTAAAATTCGAGTGAGTTGGGAAAAACTTACATAGATCAGAAAACTAGATGAACGAAGCTTTGATTTGCAACGAATTTGAGCGAATTTGGTTGAGAAACGAGCGAGAATGAGCAATTCAAAGCTTTTCGCGGCGAACTCAAAAAAAAATGAAGCAGTAGCAGCAACACGAGGAAGAAAGGGGATTTATACGAAAATCCCGACTACAACGTCGTACGACAGCTCTGAAGCCGAGCGTCAGAGTGCAGCGTCTGGCGACAGAGCAAAATCGCGGCACTAGAGACATTGCAGCGGCGACAGAGCGCGAAGCCTCTGAGAATGATTATTTCGACCTCGTACAATAATTTTGGGTTCCTTGGTACGCCAGTTATCCCCTATAAGAAATTTGACATGATTTAGTAATCGGCTCGGTTACAATCATATTAAGTGCTCGACCAGATAAATGATCGTCTCACTTAAGTTTAAAGCGCTTAAACATTGGCTCACTACAAAGGCACCGACATAATGGTTCATAAACAACAGAAGCACTGACATACAGGTTCACAATTCAAAAGCACTGACATACTGGTTCACAAGCAGCAAAAGCGCCGACGCACTGGCATAGCAGAAGCAAAGTTCAAGAGAACTTTAAAGGATCGACAGGCGTTGGTCTTCGGTGATACTCTTCAGAGTATTATCTTAATTAATGAGGATGGCTTCAGGCGAAGCAATCTTCAATCATGTTCCCTGGCTTGCAAAAAATGGTCACAAAGCGGTAGAAGGTCGTTTCATGCAAAGCAATCTTCGATAGGGTTCTCTAGCTTGCAGAAGTCTATCACAGCAGAATTGGAGGCAATTACAGGCATAGCAGTCTTCAGAATATATCCCCTAGCTTGAGGAAGATCGTCAAACAAAAGAACCTCTTTTCTCAGAGACGTGTGAGCATATCATTCAAAGCTCTTTGTTCAGAGACGCGTCGACATATCAACATCAAAACAGCAAGATGGCGTTCCCTAGCTTGTGAAAGGTTGTCGACAGCAGTACAACACAACAAATCGTTTACCTCCCAGAGACGTGTGCTCGACGTTGCGAGATACACGCTTCTTTAACTCTCTTATCTGTTTTAACTAACGCTAGTTTTCAGGTATAGGTGTTACAAGAATGATTTAGGATCGCAGAACGTTCTGAATCATTCTTCGTCCCTATCGCTACTTTGACTTTTATTTTTAAAACTTACGTTTCTCCAAACACAGTCAAAGTGAGGGCTTTTGTAGACACCCATTTGTGTCTCCCCAAAACCAAAACCAGTGATGAGTACCTTTCACGTCGAATCATAATCGAATAAAGTGAAACTGTGGAAATTCTAGTGTTGCGGTTAGTTTTTATTTCTCTTCTTTCTCTCTATTTTTGAAAACCTATTTTATGAAAATATCCGACCTAGTTTAGTTTTGTCCATGGAAAGGGTCCAATAATGGTTTAGTTGGATCAGATTCGAAAAGAGATTTCCAACGATATATTATAAGCCTAATTCCGATGAATAATGAGGAAGTTATGGCCAAATTACTAAACTGGGCCCGGTTTGATTTTAATATGCGGCCCAATGATCTAGAGGAGGGCCTATTATGTTTTATCATTCCTAACGCAATTAGGATTGATTATGGTCTTCTAGAATCTTCTAGAAGGTTCTTTTGAATCCTAATGTGATTAGCATTGATAATTGAGTTTTAAGAGTTTTATTTAGAATAAAAGAAGTGTTTCTAAGGAAATTACAGTTTTACCCTTCGTACGCTTAAATTTTATCAAAATATGAAAACGCATGGAAAAACTGTCTGCAGCGCCGCACTAC